TTCTCCGATTACCTTTTTACAGATTATCCTGAACCACATTTCTAGCAGTGAAAGATTTGTTTCAGTCGCATGATTATAACCGAATTTGTTCGCTTATATCCTACAGAGATGTACCTACACTTGAACCTGAAGCCTTGTTCTGAGCTAAAGAACTATGAATGCCAAGGGTGGCCTGACCTCAAAATACTCTTGTACAGTGCATCTGAGTTTATCTCTCTGAACTCTCCAACCTCTTTCATACGGCGTCAAAGTAAAGCCTTTGGCCACAAAGTGCGGCTTGCGTGAAGAATGAATTCTGCAAAAGACTTTGACTTTGATGAACCTTCACAAAAAGCCTCTCTAAGGGCAAGGTTTTTGGATCGGGAACTTCATAAATGCTTTTCTTTCGGGCGGCAAAGAATTCAAGACTTTCCGGCGCAACCTTTGCTTCAGGTCGAAACCTGTGAATGTTTTTCAGTGTAACTTGTCGGTTTATCGTGTAGGAATGTTTAACCACAGGTCGCCAGCTGGCAAAAGATGCAGAACGTCATTCGTGACTTTTAAATCTTGTCTCTGGTTAGGTGGCACTAACTATCTGTATAACAGTGTGGGTCAAGCGCACTTTCTGCGGATTATCCTCTCTTCCTTTGGACGTCACATGCACGCTTTTGACTAAGATTTAATTGACTGGAGGGGTGCTCCAAAATGTCAAAACTCTTCGGTTGTCTCTAAAGTTTTGAAAAAAAAAGAAAAACTTCCAAAACTTTGCAATCAGACATCTTCACCTTATCAGCAAAACTGGCATTTTGCGTCAGAACTATATATATTTCCTATCATATCACACGCCTGTTAACAGAACTGCCCACGCCTCCTACAGTTACAGCTGCCTATCATAGTGATCAATGGCTAACAACTAAAAGACGTCAGCTTCCTACTCGTCTCTACTGCCTTATCTTGTCACACGTTAGAAATGGGTTAAAGATCACATCTCTAGCACTACACGCGGTGCACTACAACCCAGTTCCTTATCGCTTTTGGCTCTAAACTGGAGATAGCGGGCTAGACGGAATATTCATATTAATCTATTTTTGACGAGACAGAAGTTGCAAAAAATTTAAAGACCACATATTACATTACATACATACATACATGTACATTACCACAAAGTTACATATTACAGTTTTTGACAGAGGATCAAGAATTCAACGAGTACATAATGAGATAAGTGTTGTGTTTACAGTTGACTTATACGCCGGAGCAACTTAACTGACAACTATAGACCCACCCCGTACCTACTTACTGATCACCCTTCTAAACTTCTATTAATGCGGACATCATGAGGACCGGATGAGTCATTGCTTCTACGCCCTACTACAAATTAGGTTACATATCTTCGGTCGGAAGATATTGAATAGCATTACACACATGAAGAATGAGGAGAAAATTGTGTTAATGTTTCTGGGAGTTCTTCTTAGTTGAATAAGGCGGTCACAGGGGCAGAGCGCAGATTTCTCGGAGGAGCACCCCCGCTGTGACACGCTACATTTTCACTTTGTTTTGACAAACGTTCGACGACATCTCGGAGTAATAAATTACCTCGCCCAGTGCGTGTTCTGTGTAGATAGCACGTCCGGGAGGACATTTTGTCCTTCTGTTTACTGGGAAACAAATGCCCTCCCTCGAAAAAAGCCCGGGGCAGTGCCGTACAGCCGCACGCAATATGCACCTGCATGGTGACATTTCCCTACCCCCCCTCTGCACTGCGGGCGGTGCATTCTTCATTTTACCGCTTCACTGACTCTTTCGTGCCTTTATTACTAAGCGGTGTGGCAATTTGTTAGAAGTTCGTGGGGTCGTCCTAAATTCCCACCCATCAAATGAGTTTTACAGCAGTCATTTTAGATTTGCAGACATCCATGACCGCGCATGCTAAGTTTTCTAGTGGTTATTACATTCGTCCTCTTCGTCCTTTTTCGTCATATGTATGCGGGGAGCTTCACACTTGCATAACTGAGACTGCCATGACTCATGAGTCTTAGACAACAGCATAGTGACCGCGTGTGCGATGACTTTAAAGAAAAAGAATTTAGAAGCTCCCAGAGTGAGTGACAAGTGAGTTAAAGATTCCTCAAGAGCTAGTTAAACTTCTCGCATTCATGCTGCTGAAGCCGGACGCATGACGTTTTCGACTTTTTTTGTCGTCAATGGAGAGAAGAGTTACTCTCCATCAGAAGTTTGGGTTTTGGGTTATTTTTTGCGTCTTTTTAGGCTTTTTTATCGGGGTTTCTCTTTTGCACTGGATTTTTTTTCACCCAACCCAACAAATTCGAGTGCAAAAAAGAAACCCCGATAAAAAAAGCCTAAAGACACGACAGAAATAACCCCAAACCCAAACCTCTGCTTGGAGAGTCCTTTTACTCGGCATTTCGTGCAAGGTTGGTCTATTCTAGTTTTCGCATTCAATTAATGAATCAATAACCCCCCTCTCCATGACACCTGTCCGACAGCCGGAAAACGTACTGTGCCAGGAAATTGTAACAGTCCTTTTACGGGAATCGATGGAAAGATGGCCGACTGGTGTCGACTTACACCTGCTGAACGCGTTCAAATTTCAGTTCGTGGGCCACGAAATCTAGCCTCTACTACCAGGCACCGCAGATCGCTGGAAAAATAGTAAAAATTGGCCAAAACAAAGGAATTACTATACCAGGTGAGTTGGCCGACCAGGGAGCGTACATTTTGCGACCCGCGAAATGTGCCCTCTCTGGCCGGCCAACTCCTCTGGTCATATAGTATTCCCTTTGTCTTGGCCAATTTCGACTATTTTTCCAGCGATCTGCGGTACCTGGTAGAGGCTATGGGAAATGTATAGAACACACGTTTTGTTCTGTTGCGCCTGTACTGTGCCTACGTTTTAGAACCGTGAGCCGACGTCCGTTATACATCGTAACTTAAACGTTACGAGCGGCCGGACACACGCCCGTGCCCGTAAAAAAATAACACGATGTCTTTTCTGTTGTTCTCTTCATCTCTACGACAGACAGATACAAGTTTAATTGTTCATAAAGGATGAGGAATTGGCAATAGAACAGTTGTGGGTGGCTTGAACCGAGAATGGGCCTCCCAATTTTATCCACGCGATGGTTTAAAATCAGTGCGATTCTCAATACTACTTCAAACATTATAGATTTACGCAGGGATCGTCGCTGGTGCCGTCTGAAGTGGGGCGGCGCTGTACATGTATTTACTCGCACAGAACTCAGATGAAAAGGCCGGGTTAGGGAATTCTCTACCAGCACACAGGCAGCGGCGTAAAGTAGAAATATTTGCCCGATACGTTGCACTTGGCCGACGGTGAATTAAATAGAAGCAGGCGTTTATTGATTGCGGAAACAGCCGGAACTCTAATCGCTGGAGGTCTGAAAGGTGCGAACGTCAGTAACTACTGAGCCGGCCTGCGGGGAATGAGTGTCAATAGTGAGAGTGTGTTCATGCCAAAATGCGCGACGGTGCGCAATCATCACACTTTCGCTGGAAACGTTTGAAATCTTTCCTGGCCGGGTGTATGATTGGGTTGTGAGGGAAGTGTAGCTCGGTGGAGAGGATGTGCAGGTGTAAATGTGAAGTAATTACACGCGTGAATGAGCCCGGGTGATGATGCGCCGGGCGGAGTGGACCGCGCGGTAGTCCGCCGTCTTGTGTAGCCGGGGCGCCGCGTACGCACCCGCGCGCTCTGCTTGGCAAATCCGACTCACGTCCAAAAATTCCGGGGGAATCGCATCCTGGAATTCAGCGCAGTATGAAATAGGGGTTATGATGTCTGAGGAAGGGTAGTTTATGGACGCAAACGCTTGAAGAAGCTTCAAAGTTGAACTGGCCACGGGCGGAGTTGCATATTCAACCGTCTTACATAAATCATGGTCTTTGGTGAATACACATCTGAAGGCGGAGTGGGATTTCGCCGCGCCCTCTCTCCCCCTTTTCCCGGAGATGAGAGCGCATTTAGCTACATCTATTTGATGAGTCGATCGATCATTTAAAATCACTGCTATCATCTCTGTGTGAGGAAGACTCCGAGAATGCGGTACCTATGCGCTTATCTCCCGAACCCACCATTTTTCACCCAACAAAATCGAAGAAAGGAGCCGAGATACAAAGGGAGGATCCTCGATCCACTTCCATTCCGTTCCCTTTGGAGCGCCCAGCTAGAATAGCGAGATAGGAATCGAACGTCAGTCGCTGTGGCGTGATTGTGAGTAGAACCCCTCGGAATGAATGCACGAAAGCGAAGGGATATGATGTTTTCAGTGCAACATCCATCTTTCTGACGAAAACGATAGATTTTACATGCCGCATTGGACGCAACACACACAGTGCAGTGCATGCGGGTGTGATTGTCTGGGACACAGTGGATGCCCATGCCTTTGAAAACGAGCCCAATCGCGAGTTCCCGTGGCGCAAGACACACCGCCAGCTCCTCACATAAATTCACAAGTTGCCAAGATGTATTTAGCCGCCCTTGGAAAAGTGTGAAAAAGCGATTGTCTCTGATGGGTTCGCGTCCGGGCTCGAATGTGTAGGTGACAGGTTTCGCAATACATACTTGGCCCAGGTACTCGAATCTTAGCGCGAAATTGTCAGATAATTTACGATAATGTAGTGCAAATATATGAAGTCCGGTATAGCGTTTTGACTTTCGCCCTTCTGACTGACGAAAGACGGTTTGCATTTCTCTAGTGCCTGTTTGCGCATCACTTCAGCATACAAAGCCTTATCTGCCGATCGCGAGTATTATGAGCTAATTATCTCATTTTACCTCATGCTTTTATCCCTGAACGGTCAACTCGTTTTCTCTCATTCAATGGATTCGGAATCGGACACCTCGGGTTGTCAATCAGGGTTCAAGATTTGCATGGTAAAATAATAGCCGCTGAATTCTTGGACAGGTTTGCATTTCTGTGAGGGCGGTCACGTGGTCGGCGCGCGGACCAATCAGCGCGCCGCATGGACATTTGGTATGTATGCATACGGAACGTGGGTGGCTGGCTTCACATTTCCACAGACTGAAAACCAGCGGTCGGACCTCTCACGCTCTGGACCGAAATACGCCACATTTACTGCGATCAGGGGACGACTGAGGACCACAGCAGAGTTGTAGAGGTAGGATGTATCCGAGAAGAGACTGTTGGCGGTGATTGGAACTCGTGAGCCGCGGGAGAACCGGAATCGGGAGAGACTCGGGCGAGCGGCGGCCCAACATGGCGGCTGCGTTGTTGTCCTTGCTCCGCTGGGCCTTTGTTGTACTCGCGGCCCTTCTGTCGGCCGGAGCCGATGCCCAGAACACCCAGTGTCCCTCCGAGTGCTCCTGTCAGGGATTCCTGGTGGACTGCAGCAATCGGAGGCTTCGCCACATCCCGACGCGGCTGCCCAGCTGGGTCCAGATTCTGTAAGTTTCCGCCAGAGGTCATGTTTTGAGTGCCCAGTCACCCCTGGTTTTGTGCATTTTAATGAGTAGACAAACGCCTTACACACTAGTGTTAGAAGTGTTACAGACAGATATCCCAATTCCACAACTCCTCAAGCACATGTAGGGCGTATTTGCGAAGTTATAGGTACTATAGTAAGTGTGTACCGAGCACCAAAAGTCAGCGATCTAGCGTTCCCGGTTTCGGGGCATTCTTGAGAGGGCTCTATGAATAATTAATCACTCAGGCAAACCTGTTTACCCCACCAACCGATGCGAGTCGAAATCTTTCCCCCAGCCGGCGTTTTTCGATCTAAATCCCTGGTCAGAAGGTGTAGGGACTTAGGAGTTAGTTCGTAAGGCCGCGCGGCCGGGCCCTTGTGTTGGGCGAGCCGCCACGGTTTACCAGTGCCCCCTTTCAAGAAGCAGTTTGAAGAGCTGGTTCTGTACTTGAAAGGTCAGGCCCGTGCTCCCACTGCGACTCCGATCGTCCTGGTTCAAAAATCCACGACGTTTTCTCCTCCTCAGTTCCCCCCAAAACCGCGGGATCGTGCTTTAGTTCTAAACCTTGCTCCTCGGGCCACGCAAGTCGCGAAGTAGGTCGCTGTAAGCGCGGTTGAGGAGTCGGTAGCACGCGACAGATGCGAAAGCCATTTGGAGTGATTACATTGTTACTGTTCGCAAGGGTCTCTTTGATACACACTGAAGTTACCGTGGAGGGACCACAACGTCTAGCACACAAGCTTCCCGAAACGTATTTCCCACGCTGTACCCAAATGTCAAAGCGTTAAATAAAGGCCAGGGGGAAACAGCTAGATCATTGTCAGAAAATAAACTCGACTGGAACACATTTAGACGGCAATATTTCTGGTATTCAGGGCACCAGTAGGTTCATCTGTCTGTCGCTTGACAGTTCAACAATGAGGAAAAAAGGCATGAATAGAAACAAATAATCTCCAAAGCTTGAAACATTCGCAAGCAGACACAACGGTAGTCAGGCCGCCCCTCAAAAACCCAGCATTTTCTAAAATTGATGGCGTTTTCGGTAAGGTCCAATATGTGTCTGTAAACGTTACTGATTTAGGACGGGGCTGACATAAAACTGCTGTGGGGTAGATTCTAGACGCAACTACTGCGCCCAAGGTGATAAACCGGAATATTGTGCCGAGCTAGCTTTCCATTTCGCTCGTCAATCCGCCCTAACCCCGTTACTGCTCGGAGCAATGTAATATCAGTGTATTGCAGCCGTTCCCTCGCTCATAATCTTTCGGTGAGCCCACAGTTGAGGTATTATCAATAATTGGCTAAGAGCTTGGGCAATTTTTTTATTTGTTCCCTGACCTCACGCACACCTTTACCTGTGTGAATGCGAAATTGCAGTATAAATGACGGAAAGTGGACGTATTTGGTAATCGCTGCTGTGACACATCAGTAATGGTGTGTAATTTTTTTCCTGCGTGAGCCCAAGACTGAGTTTTTCCCTTATTTTCTTTCCCACCACAGGGAGCTACAGTCAAATCAGATATCCACAATCCCTGAGGACGCTTTCAGTGGACTAGACAACCTTCAACAATTGTGAGTAACCGTCTAATTCCACCACACTTTTTTTTGCCTGAGTACTCCCCGCTAGGTCATTATTGGCTTGTGGAATTATTAATTTACGAGCAGAAATTGAGTTGGGGGTGGGAACAAGTGGTCTTGGACAATTTGCCCAGTGGTTTGGGGGCTCTTGGGATGTCAGGGTGCGTGTTTTAGTGACGCTGCTTTGATGATCGGAGCCCCGACTGAGTCTTTGTGTTGGCGATCGCAGTCCAGAATCTCGTTCCATCACAGTGAGTGGACGGGTGCAGGTGGTTTAGCGCCAGGGATTGCATAGATTTGCTGCATCCAACGCAATCCCACGGAATTCTTGATTTGTGAAATTTTAATGGAAATTTTTAAAGTAGTGTCAGGTATACTGACTGGGTTGCTACACTGGGGGATATTGACTCAGACACACGGTAGCCATAAAAATCCCACCGACTCAATGATTAGGTGATATACTCTGAGGAGTAAAAGTGGCTGTGGTTTTGCCCTTTGTTTTAGTGGATGGAGTGTAACCTTACACTGTGTTGTACTTTGGAAGGAGATTTGGTGTTGAACTTGGGTGACTCCGCAGTTGTGTGGATCTGTAGTTCACTGCTCCTGTGTTTAAGGGATATAGGCGGGATTACGGTAAATTCCCCACAACCGATAGATTGCATGATCCCCGGACAAATCCTACGGACACAAATTTAGGGGAGATGTCGACACAGGTCCCCCTCACGAAACCGTAGTACCGAATTAGAAGTTGCCTTATGCGTCACAAAGCAGAAAGGGGACACCGTCCCGGAGAATGGAAGTTGAGAGGACTGGGCTGTTGTGTAAAGCGTCACATTGGGCACAGCTGCAACTTACCACGCCGCCACGCTATTCTGTTCCACATGCATTGTGGCTCTGGCCTTTTGGTGACGGTTAGCCCGACCCCTATTGCCCTTGTTCTTTTTGTGCTAAGAAAACATGCAGCTTTATTTGATTAAGCATCAGTTTTGCTTGGAATGCAAGTGTCAACACTTCTCTTTTGGCAGGAGGGTTTGGGGGGATGGGCTCCCCGCTCAGGACTTTTCCATCCCTCCGATTCCAAGGTACATGACCCTGTGTTAACGAAGTGGCAAACATGCAGGAGTATCTATAGGCATTTGTCATGCAAGGCAACAAAAGAGTACTGGGAAGCCGCCCCAGCATGGATACAGAACAAAGGGATCAATGAAGTTGAAATAAAAAAAGACACATCAATACACCATTGTTGCCATCTTGCTGTCTGGGCTTTCTCATATTTCTTATATTCTCAGTACCGATGTTCAGTTGTTGCCTGCTGGGGTGTATATGTGTGTTCACGTATGCATGAGAGAATCATCCCACGCAGATCAAACTGCCTCGCAAAGTGAGAGTCATGCTGTAATGATCCAAAATATTCCCAGGCAGCGCCAAATGCACTTTGTAATTTAGGAAATCCCTGGAAGGCTAGGTGTTATGAAGTGGAGCTGTTCAGTATTCCCTCTACATAAGACTAACTTGTGCAGTAAGAAGTGAAATATATGAGATCTCTTCCCCCCTGTTGTAATTTACAAAGGGAAAGGAAGCATTTTCCTGCATGGTAATTTCAAATTTGTGTGAGAATTCAGATGCCGGGCGAATTTGCATGCAAATGCGTTCCCCCTTTTGTAAATTCAGACATGTGTATTCGAGACCATATCCGACTGGAAGCCTTACAAATTAATGCACATCATGTGTATTGCCCAAAGATTATTCCACACCACCAGCATGTCTCATAGAGGGAATTTTGATGTTCTTGGTGACCTAGTTTGGGTGAGTTTGATAGCTATACTGAAGTTTAGCCAGATCGTATTTACATTAGGAGTAGCCCTGCTCAGCCGAGGGTAGAGGACCAGCCAACGTAACAATTCTGGGTTTGTTGTGGGAAAGGAAAGGCACAAGCAGATGAAAGCAGGCCATATTTAGATGGAATGCATCTTGTTTAGGTTTGTCTAGCTCTCTGTTTGAGGTGTGTAGTGTCCCAATTAATTAGGCATGTAAAGCGAACCAAGGCGACCCCAGATCTGATAAGATAGGAAATAGTTATGGACACTTTGTAAGCGTTTGTATACAAAGTGGGGGCACTTGTGACAGGACCTACTCCATTGTCACTTGAAAACCAATGGGGCTTTTCCGAGTGGAAAAAAGTGAAACTTGTCTGCAAGTTGTTTATAATTGGTGAGAAAATGACGGATTTTAAACGCGGGGAAGTTTATGATTTGTTTCTATTGACGGATTTGTTGTTAGTCTTTGTTGAATTGGTAGGGGGGAAGGGAGGTGCAAATGAGGTGTGAAGTAATTGGTGCTGTTAAAGAGTATAACACTTTTTAGTGTTATAAATAGGAAGTAGTGTGTGTTTTTTTGTATGTTACTAGACTAATGTTTCTGACACTAAACATTTTCATTTGATTTTGTTCAGCGTAGCCTTGTGTAGAAGTTCTCTGTTCTGGATGGCATGGCTTTTATTTGTGTAACTTTTTGGTCTTTGCAAGGGCAACAAAATAGGCTTTGTTCTCTCTGTTGGCAAGGACCAACAGTCTAAAACATTTTAACTTCAGTGCGTCACCGCCAGAGCTAAGCCTTTTACAAATATTGCCTTGCAAGAAATTCAGGTACTCCTGGAATGTTTTCTTGGGTCGATACATACTTTGTAGTGTAACGAGGCCCGTGAGTTGTTATGCTGGTAATGCAATGACGAATTGTTAGCAATTTTTATTTTTCCCTCATTCAATAAAGTTTTGCCCATTTGTTACAGTAATATTTGCCATTGGTAATTGCTTGTAATAAATACTGATGGCATATTTTGCATCATAACACAAAACTTTCCCAGTTTTCCCGATTTATGGACCTTCCTAACCGATATCCCCGAAACTTGTCGTTGATTTACTATAATTGTTTTAGACTCTGCTCATATGTGTATTGATTTTTGTGGATAAAAATGCATCGGTGGATGTGCTTGTCATTTGTTGTCTGCCTAAGTATTCCAATTTTCTCTTTGGACAGAGGCTATCTGTTTTCTCCCTCATGTGGATAGCGATTCTGGTCTGCCGGGGCCATCAATGATAAGATACAAGATTTCCCGTAGCAAAAACCATGCTGCTATCCGGCGTAATTACCCTCGCAACATACATCAAGTCTCGTAAATGTCACTGCCACGTTCGCCGGCGATTGCTTTCCGCGGTGCTAACGTTTACGTAATACCCTTTTGCGATTGTGTTGGGGGGAGTGGACTGATTGTCGGACGAAGGTATCACATCTGTCGAAGGCAGCCGGTCTGATTAAACCAGGAAAATGAGGTGTGGATGATATTGGCAGTAAATTAAATTTCCTGTATTGGAGGCGGGAGGAAGACAATTAGGTGTTGGACATTTGTCACCGATCTCGTGATGTTTCCATTGATTTTATCGCTGTTAGAGCCAGGCTGCGCATTGATTGCTATTGTCTCGTGCAGCGTAAAATGGTCACCTTTACATACTGTATGGTGTCACTGAAATGTCTTCAGAGTGAAGTTTTCTTGTAAGGAACTAAAGGAGGCAATTTTCTACACTTACAAATAGGGATACGGATAAATTTCTGGCAATGCCAAGACTAACAGTCATTTCTAGGAAGGCTTAGGGTTATTGGCAAGTCTTGATGTTTGAATAGCTATTGGTCAGAAATAGCCTAAAAACTGCAAACCCAGCAAGGATTGTTTTGGAAGAATGACTTTGATCATCATATAATTGGGTAGAAGTGATATATTCTGCGTGTGTATTCGTCTGTAATAATTATAATTCCCCAGTGGTGCAATTGTCTATTCTATTATTATCCAGTAACTGCATACGTCTGCTCCCAATACTTGTTTCTGAATATGCACTTTTATTATTATGAGCAGTAATTGTCCTCCATGCAGTTACCTAGTCTTTCACAAAAGCAGTAGTTTTATGAGTCATGTTTGTGGTTAGATTATATCGACATAGAAGAGAACTTGATTTTGTAATAGGAAATTGGCCATTTCCCATGTGATAATGCATATCATTGTGGTGGCCTCTGGAATTTGCATCAAAATCAGATGCCTAACAATGCCTTCTGTTCCAAGATTTTAGTATGTGTTTTGCATGTCAATGGGTCTATTCTGCTGCATATGCTTGTGCAATAAAGTGACCAAATGTTCCCGAAGCTTTCTCTTGCGTCACATATTTTGTAGACATCTTACCCATAGCTGTTTTGTGTTATGTTATAAGAAAAGGACAGAACAGTTGTTTCTAGTTGGTAGTTGAGCGTTTGAACTGTTAGGCCATACATTTTGATGTGTTGCTACTTTTGAAACTGCTGTGAAATATAGTCTTGTCACCGCTGGTCAAGCCAAACCTTCACTTTGTAGCGCCCTCAGTGATGTGCAATTGTAGGAGGATTAGTTGTTTCACTGGCATTTAATTAAAGGCGAAACCCGATCCCTTCCCAAGTTTCCCCTTGCTTTGTAAAGCTGGCTGGATGGGGCCACGACTGTCACAAAGGAAAGGCCAACTTCAGAGACTGTGCTGAATGCCTAGAAACTTCTGAATTACGACTTCTGGCCCTCGCGCATTCTTTCATGTTCCCAGCAGATGGGGGGAAAACGGGCGGGAAAACGTCAGCTTACCATCGCTTTGACCTCTCAGCACTTCTAGCAGGGCAGTGCAAATATCAAAGGCTTACTTCGCTGATCGGAGCCATCTTCAAATATTTGTTTGTGTCGTTTCACCACCAGTTTTTGCACCCCGGGTATGAGTCCGCATCCCCGCGCCAACTTTCGCGTGTGTGGAGATAGGCTTAGAGCACGGAATCCGTGGACGTGTTTGCTCGCGATGTTTGCGGGGCTAAATGGGACCCGCGGCAGGGTCAACAGAAACTTCCTAAATTTAATTTCAATTCATCATGCTGGTAGGAAGGTTTGTCACCGCGACGTGTCGGCCACAAAAAAAAAAAGAAAAGTCGGTTGA